GGTTTATAATAAATGTCTTAGTATACTGTATCCACTAAAAAAATTACCCAATTCATCTTATTCCAATAAAATGGCATATGTCGTTTTTATGTTGCATAGCTAATATTTTAGTTGCAGTTAAAAAGAAGTTACATCATAGATAGCTAAGACATAAAACAAACACACACACACACACACACACACACACACACACACAGAGGGGCTTCAAGAAGTTCACTGAAAAAAATCCATTATCTTTTCATTCTGTTTTTCCAGAAACTTTTGGCAGCTCCTCATGCACACATGTATATGTACATAATTCACATATTCTATTGGAAAGTGTGAGTAAACAGAGGAGGGGCTCCACAGATTATCAGTGTTTAGGGTCCTCACATGCTTTAAACTGGGCCTGTTGGCCTTTACCAGAATCCAAAAGTGGCAATACTATGGGATCATCTGTTTCTTAAAGGAATGAATCGGACTGCTAACCTCAAGGTTGGTAGTTCGAAACTACCAGCTGTTCCATGGGAGAAAGATGAGGCTTTCTGCTCCCGTAAAGATTTATAGCCTCGGAAACCCTGTACAGGGTCACTATGAGTCGGAACCGACTCCACAGCACACAACAACAACAACTTAACTCCTCAGAGGAGGGTTTGCTCCTAATTCCATAAAGGAAAGGAACCATTGAAGGTTTTCAAGCAGAGAAGTGATATAAATTAGTGTGTGCTCTCAAAAGATTACCCAGTGTGGTTGAGCTTACATTTGGCTTTGCATATGCCAGATTATTGGATGCACACGCTATCTGAAACAAAACAATAAAAATATAGTAGCAAGACCTAACTGGACTTCTTTACCAACTGAGCCCCTCTCCTCACACTGCTTCCCACTCTTCAGCAGAGTCACTTGCAGTGTCAAAAGCAAATGCTCTCCGCATATGTGAGGAGGACTGCATGGAGCTTTGGCTCCCCTTCTCCCACCGCCCCCATCCCCATAGCTCCCACAGGCAAGCTTGACTCTTCATACAGAAGCACCCCCCGCACTCCCAGTCATTTTTAGTAAGAACAGCAATACCAACAAGAGGAGGGGGCTGCTCACCCTGGCCTGCAAATCTGGATTCAGCCCAAACTTACCCATGTGGGCCAGGCCTTGAGCTGCTTCTCTGTCTCACTTTCCAAGGGGAGCGATTTGCAAGACACGTATCTCTGGGACTTCACTGCTCTGTGGGCCTGAGTCTGGTGAACTGTATCTAACCTATCATTCGTAGCACAGCAAGAATGCTACACAACAACCTCTATATCAACATATAACATTTTGTTTGCTCTATAACTTGGATGATGTCACTTCAGTGTTACTGTGGAGGAGGTTGGGCAAGTCCCAGAAGCAATCATCACTATGCCATCTTGGTTTTCTGAGGCTGACTTCAACCACCTTGTTTCCAGCTGCTGGCCTGGCTCTGGCCTTTTCTACCCACCCATGAAACAGAACTTCAACCTACATACGTGGCTGAATGAGTCACACCCCAGACAGAAAGAGCTGGAAGTTATCTGGATTCTGTGCCAGAGGCCAAGGCGGACGGCAGCATTTTCCCTCAAATCTAGCCCTAAGATGAGCTAGCCTTCTCTCTAAGCTAGCTGTATATGTGTTCCTCCTTCCTTATTAAGGTTGGAAATGGCTGATGACGCAAGAAGAAGAAAAGCAAGCAATGTAGCTGAATCATGATCAAAATATCTACTTTTATCACCCGTTGTGTTGCTAGAATGGAAACATGTTAAATAGTAAATATGAACGTTTGCTCAGAGACTAGAAAAACTAAAGTTGTCAGATCTGTCCTGGTCCCTTCAGAAAAACCCTGCATAAGTAGCATGCTGTCATGTCAGTTTGTTGATCTTTTGAATCCATCATTAAGCTAATTTTCTGAATACATTGTTAAGTTTTGAACCAAATAGAAGATTTTCTGAAATCATCAAGCCTGGGCATCATTTGAGAACCACTGGTGGTGCAGTGGTTAAAATGCTCAACTGCTAACCCAAAAACCAGCAGTTCAAACCCACCAGCTGCTCTGCAGGAGAAAATGTAGCAATCTACCTCCAAAAAGCTCCATTTCATCAGTGAAAACAAGGCCAGGGGCAGACTGTGGAACAGACCGTAAATTACTGATATGCAAATTCAAACTGAAGCTGAAGAAAATGAAAACAAGTCTACGAGAGCCAAAATATGACCTTGAATTTATCCCACCTGAATTTAGAGATCATCTGAAGAACAGA